GATGGAGCGAGAGCGGTTCTCCGCTAAAGCCCCAAAAAAATAAAGCCACAGGTTCAAGCACGAACAGGAAAAAAAGCTCCAGAGATCAGCACCGATACCGGGTCTACGCTATGAGTTAGGGACGCGGCATCCCCCCCGAGGGAGCAGAAACGTGTGGATGTTGGCCGGGGATCCGGGGTGGGAGAGGAGCCCCTCACAGTCTCTCCAGAGCCTGAACGGCGGGCGCCTCCGCCTCCTCCTCGGCGCTCAGGCCGCACACAGGTCCCGCGGCCCTTCCGGAGCCCGGGCTGGGGCGCTCGTCTTCTTGCCCCGACGACTCGCTGGCCCCCGCGGTTCCTCGCCCGCCGCCCTCGGGCGCAGGGCTCTGCAGCTAGGTCCCCGCCGCCCTGTGGCCGGTGGCCGCGGGGCCCGGGGCCGCATACTCCCCTCCAGTCAGGCTGCGGCGGGGCGGGCTGTGCGCCCGGGCGCCTAGGACTGGGACTTGGCAGCAGGGCGCGAACAGAACCCCTGGGGGCGTCCCATCAGGCGTTCCCGGGTCCGCAGCTCCCAGGCGCGGGCAGTCCAGCTCCCGCCCCCGGGCCTGAGCTAGCGGCGTCGGCTTCTCAGCCTCAGCACCGAGCTGAGTCCTGGGAAGCGCTCCCTTTCCAGCTCCAGCCAGAGAACCGCCCGGCTCGGAGAGGCGGAGTCACCAGCGCCTGGGGCGGGTTGTTGGGGTGTGGGTGGGGGGAGTAAGGAAGAGAGGAAAGGGGTGGGGAGTTGCGCTGCTGCGATGCCTCCCGCCTCCCTGTCGCTCTGGAGGCACTAATGCGGGGCACCAAAGCAGGTGTCGCGACTGCGGTGCTTGCTACCACCCCGCCGGGGGCGCTTCGTCTCCAGAATTCCTCCCTTATCTCCAAGCTGCTGCCAAACTTTGCTCAATTTGATGATGCCCTGCGGTCTCAGGGGCTGGCGGGGTCTCCTCATACCGCGTCTCTCGGGCTCCAGTCCGAAGTTTAAGTTTCCTCTCGCTCGCTTCTCCTTCCTGGATCCGTCCGCAGTGCCAGGTCTCGGAGGGTCCCTTTGGGGGAAATGATCCCGTTTGGGAAGGAGTCGGAGCGACCGAGGAATGAGGGCATCTCCTCCCTCTCTCCACCGAGCGGGGCGGCCGGCGTCAGCACCGCGGACAGCGCATCGGTGCCGCAGCCGCGGGGCGGCGGCTCCAGGGCTGCGGCGACCCACGGTGCCGGGAGAGGCCAGTCACCCTGCTGCGCTGTGTTCCCCAAACGCTCTCTCTTCCTTTCTGCCTCTTATCTCCCCCAATCGGGGGCAGGTGCAGTCACTGAAGCAGCCTGCTGACAGGGCGGGGATGCTGAGGAATAGAGACAGGGTAGGAGTCAAGCACGAATAGGGGACCAGGTGCCACGGAGGAGGAAGCGTCCAGGCCCACCCTGCTGCTTGGACCTCCGCTCCCACCCCAGCTCCCAGGACCCAACAGCCCGGGGTCAGGAGCTAGATAAGAACCTGGCTGCGGCAGGGTGTTAGAGGAGGTGTACAGAGAACTCATTAACTGCCCGCCCCCACCCCCCTCACCCTGTGCCTGCAGGTGAGGGGTGTGCTGTTGAGGGGGGCGGGGGCATCATGCTCCCTATGCCCTGCGGCTACTGGAGAACCGAGGGTGCTCTGTGCTATTATTGCAAGAGCTTCTCTGCCGGTGGGTTGCAGGCTGGGTCACAAAGTTCTGTGGTGAGGAACACCCCTTTTCTGTCCGTTCTCCTTCCACAAGAGAGGGAGACCCTGGTGATGATGAGACTACACAGATGACAGAAGATAAAAGATAATAATGGTGCCCTAGCTGGTTTGGCTCAGAGACAGAGCTCGCCCGCAGACTGAAGGGCCCCGGGTTCAATTCTGGTCAAGGTCACGAACCTCAGTTGCAGGCTCATGTGGAAGGCAACCAATGGATGTGTCTCTCTCACATTGATGTTTCTCTCTCTGTCTGTCTCTCCCCCTCCCTTCCACTCTCTCTAAAAATCAATGGAAATTCCTGGGTGAGGATTAACAAAAACAAAACAGAAAGATAATAATGGTGACTGCTTAGATACCCTAGGTGGGTGAACTGCGGCAAAATGCAAACCTGGCCTACCACTCCAAATACCTGGCTGTCTGGTCTCCACCCTAAAAAACACTCAAGCTAAGGTCGACCCAGACTGGCAACAGTGTCAGTCCCCTAAGGATCAGGGTGCTCACAGTGGTCCCACCACTCACTGGGCCCTCTGACCCCATGCCCCAAGTGCAGACACGGGGGTAGAGGGAGGAGGAGCTGTCAGAAAGCTGAACGGCATCTGACTTGGAACATTGATTTTCTCAAACCAGGACACACTGGAGTCTTGGATCATCCTAGAAGTGTTTCCAGCGTGTAGATGGAGCCAACTGCTCTTGTGTTAGGGAGGGGACCGATAGGGAGAGATTCCACCATCACCATAGTCAGAATCAGGCATCTTGGCACTGGGTGGCATGTGGCTAGTTTTGCAATGATTTTCTTAGAAAGGGGCAGAGGAACCTTTGTGTGAGGAGGAGAACATCTCATCTTATACAAGCACAAATTATTGCCACTGCAGCAGACTATTGTTACTATTGGCAAAATGTACTTCAATCTTGTATCTATCTGTCTATCTATCCATCCATCTATCTTATCTATCTCTCCCCCACCCCAAGACTTTGGCTCCCCTAGGCTCTCACTGGTATCATCCCAGCCAGTTCCCCCATCCATGCATACCCCCATCTCTACAAGCTCCTTCAGCAGGGAGGATGGCCCAGACATGGACCTCTGAGGCCAGATTCCACTTGACTGGCCAACCTCTGACAGAAGCCCTGAGAAATGTCATTCTAGGAGCTTGCCCTGGAGTCTCTGATGCAGCCGAGGGACACTGTCAGACCTCCCAGACTCCCAGGGCAGGGACAGAGTGCTTCCCTGCAGTGCTCTGTGCCTCTAGACCAGCTCCTTGCCCAGTTGGCAGGGACCTGTTTCATTCCCCAGCTTGTTATTCTAGCCTGATTAGCGTCAAA